AAGACGCTTGTTTGTAAACAATGACACGCTATGGCCGCCTGACGCATGCGCAGGTGACGACCCTCCCGCTTTAATATTCATATGTAGTAAACAAATTAATAAGTTCATGTATGAAATTCTTGTTTCTATCATCACATAGATATTGAATATTATTAACAAATTAGCTACATTGAGTTAACAATTATAATAATATATTTTGCTTACCATGCGAATTGAATCATGGGATAGAGGTTCAAGGTGTAATCGTAGTGATGGTGCGTACAGTGCTGACACTACATTCGAGTAATGGGAACTATTTCAACTTACCCGAGAATGACGAAAGTTAATATTGTTATTGTTAATGAAAGCAATGAGATACTACATCCAACCAAGCTTATGATTTCCAACGCCTTCTCGTGGATAATGTCCATCTATTGAGGGAATAAACACAGAAGTTTAAGAAAGTGGAAACGTAATGATATATATAGTAGTGTTGCTTAAGGTGAGGCAACCCGACGAAATTATTCTGAAATCTATCTTTAAAAAGCTGCTCTGACCTAAAGAAAATCGTATAAACCAACACGGACGAATACAGTAATGGTGCAGTAAGTCTGTCATTTTACAAACCTGTGAAAGTATATTTTGTTTTCAAAATTGTGAAACGCATTTTCAATTTGTCTGTTATAAAGGTTGCTAGCTCACACATTGCGGTAATATTGATATGAGACTAAATAAAACTAGCTTATGTTATGCCGTTTAAATTAAATCCATTTCTGTGTAGGCAGTGCCCCGTTTGTTATACCTGACAGAGAACCAGTTGAGAGCTGGAAGGCCCTTCATATAGTGTTCATTATTCCAATGATATTAGTAACCATGACACATGTATTTAAAACAGTGGTCGCACTTATGGGTTAGACTGGCAGACTGACTGGGGGACAAAATGAATCACGTGACTCTCGCTCTCAACGAGATCTATGCAGCAGCCATTAGCGTGTGAGATGTATAGATAGAATGTTTTGTTTGGTTTTGTTTTGTTTATATAGTAAAGTGATATTAACCTCAAATTCATTGACACGCATCAACACAGCAAAACTAGTCAGGTGATTACAATGACATGTGGTCATAGTTTGGTTAGTTTCATATACTTTACATCCAGACGAATTCCATAGCTGCTCTGTAAACCTAGAATAGAACCACGTATTCAATTATATCCCTGCTTCGGAAAAAAACAAACATTAGACATAACATGGAATGGATGACAGTTGTACAGAGATAACATGTTTAGTTTAAATATTCCACCGAGTATGGAATTTTCTTTTTGATATATCTCTTACATGTATTCTATTCATACATTAATTAAAACAAACTGATGACATGGTGTATTAGTATATAAGACGGAACACCCGGGGCGAAATTATTACACTTATTAGACATACTTATCCGTCTCATTAAACTGAAGGAATTCACACGACGTGACGCCCTCTGTGACCGCGTATAGATGTCGAAAAGTAATTATTATAGGCGAGTCTTCAGGAAGTGTTTCAGACAGTGCTGGAGAAATTGTAGTGGATATGATGGCGCTGTTTAACAAACCAATGCCATTGCTGTCTCAAAGAAAGGTACATTATAAGTTAATAGTGTAGCATTTGAAAGTACAGACAACTTAAATAATGTTATATACCCATCTTTCATATATACTTAAGAAAATAATCACAAATTGAAAGAAGCCCCGACTCACCAATAAATGTACGTGAACATTGTCAAATTAGAATGCGCCTTACCCTACATTATCAGTACCAACTAACACCTCTGGTTTTTCGTATATAGCACTCACAATTACTAGTGTACCTGTGATATTTGGAAAAAACATTAGTATCAACCGTCAGAATCAACGCATTGTTTGTATTCACACACGGTTATTTTTAAACCAAAGTTCAACTCTGACGTATGTATATTCACTATCTGAAATTTTTATAACGTTACAAAGAACTAACATGTAATCATTAGATAGCAGACAGTCAGGAAATTATTATTTTGTAGTTGTGTACAATTATTGATCTATGGTGTAATCGTATAAACTATAACCTCTGATGCATATTCGTTAGTTAAGCTGTCACGTGTTTATACACTAATAAACAGTAGATCAAAAGCTTCCATAAAATAAGTGAAGAAAATGAACTGAAACATTTTACAGATAGAATAAATAACATGAAATCTCTTGAACACTATTGTTGGATCAAAATAAACAGGATCCCTATGATCATTATGGCATATGAATTATGAGTTGGGGAAATTGTTTTTAAAGAGGTAAGAACATTTCTTAATAAACACAGAAATGAAAGTAGTATGAATTCACCATGAGATTTATTGTCAATTTTACTTTTATTCAGTCTCAAATATGTATGATTTTTCCTTCTTTTTTTCCTTTCCTCTTTTTATTTTGTTGCCGTTCCGAAGGCTAAATAAATATTATATTTATTTAGCACATAAATGTCACGAGGTTGCCAGAATACTTGTATATGTCATAGTGTTGCGGTATGTTTAGACAAAATGAATGACGTGTGTAAGGATGGCGGTCACATCGTGCATTCGAATGTATACGTCCACGTGTATACATTTCTATACTCAGTATATGACTCACATAGTATGCACGTAGTCTTGAAAGACGTCATTCAATGACATAAAACAATAGCACACATTGCATTGTGTTTACACAGCTAAAAATAACATAAAATAGCAATATCATGTTACACGAAATCAAATTGAGCTTGCTGTGTGATTGATAAAGCACACACGGACTATTATGATGCCTACCAGTTGTAAGGAGTTCACCAGGTATTTGTATCGTAGCGTAGAAGTCCGTCTGCTCCGCGGGGAACTTGAATGCGTTCGAAGAGAGTGTGTCGCGGGTGAGAAGCTCGATGTACATACCTGAAATGTACATTTCATATGTTAGTAAGCAAGGTGGAACATTTATGTTCAATCCTTATTCGTGTATGTAATGATGTACATATGTCAACGAATGCTGAAGTAAAAAAGCATGGTCGATCTGTCGTCATTTTTATTAATATCATAATAATAATCTGAGATTAACGAAGTTACCTTTCTGAATATCTTCGAAGTGAAAATTCATGGAGTCTTTGGTCATATTATGCGTTAGTATTTCTTCCATGACCGACACACCCAATGCGTCTATTGTCGTTGTCAGACCTGCGCAGTTGTCGATATTACAGTTACCAACCTGAAATAGAAATATGATGACACACTAAGTAAAGACGAAGAATCAACTGTAGGCGGTACAATGTGTGAACTTATTGCTTGTGTTCATTGCTGTCATTTATTTTTTAAGTTTTTATATTTCGCCATTTTATTAATTATATAAGTTAACAATTATGGTGCACTTACCTGAGACACATCCTCTGTTAGAATATTTATTGCTTCCGTGATGACTGTGTCAAAAGATGCAAATATGACGTCATCTGAACTTGGTTTTGTCACAATTGAGGCCACGTCAAATAACTGGAAGTGAAATAATGTATGTATTATAAAGACTTGCAATGGGTCATAGTGAACGCATTCGTCACTGATAAGCATATATGGCGAAAATAGTTTAGTAAATGAGATCCTGTGAAATGGATTTAGAGAATCGAATATACATTTGAATATCACTTTGGTATATTGAACGTTTTTCACTTATATACACTTATATCACGTATCTCACATCGACATTTGATTACAGAATAGCAAACAGATATGTATACACTGTGACTGACCTGAGAGCCCCAGGATGTATCATTCGTTAGCTGTGGACATGATCTATCTATGGAGTTAGATAAACTATGGCACTGCAAGAGTTCACGACCTGTGTAAATAGTGCGACACAACAACAGTGTGCATCAAAGACATACATTAGAAAGATGGTAGAGTATATGCCTTGTCTGATTGTACATGATAACATATGTTCAACTTTACTGTCTTACCTGTTTCTACTACTACGTCCATTATACAGCGATAACAAAGGCATTCACTCCAATCTGTGAAACGTAATGTCCATGGAATATAAATAACATATTTTCACGTGTAATACACACAACATACAATGACACTGACAATACATCTACTTAACAACAAGAGAGGATCTTCTTCAAATACAATACAACATGGCATCAGGTCGTGAGATAGTAAGTGTCAAGTAGATAATACACTGATTCCCTCATATTGTGTAAGTGTGTCACGAATCCAGATTACATCACGTTGTGAATGAGTTCACAACTTGCATGCGTCCATAACAACAATGATGAAATAATAACCAGTCCGTACTTACTGTCATACAAGTGGATGTAGTAAGGTCCATTAGTGATATTACTTGGTAAAACACGTATGTGTCCTTGATATAAATACGGAAAGTAGTAAAAAAGGATATAATTGATTTATTACAAGGCACTACGTCGGTATCATGTAATGTGAATAATAAGCAAACTCACCATACAGTTCTTCCTGGTTCGCACATATTTGGCGTATAAATAAATAATATAATTATCACATTATGATTGGGCTAAATAGAGGTGCGTTTTAGGGAACCGAAAATCAGTTAGTTAGTTTTGTGCAAATTGGATATTCACGCACGATCAGTTGTTTTTTCAACATTGAACGAGAAATGATACTTTATCTAATGCTTCAAGTTTATGAGCATTACTCACTTACCCTGTGTTATGCTGGTGGAGTTTGCAAGTTTATAACAACTGCACCTGTAAAGTCCCGCGTCTACTATGCATTTGTCATCTATAAATAAAGTATAACTTTCAGTAAAACGGAAGTAGTTATACAAAAGATATTTTATTGACCCCTTATTCAAATTAAATACCGTACCATATAAAACATATGCAAATTAATCTACATTATTTGTTCACCTTAATGTCTTTTTACATCAATATATTATGACATAATTTACATATTGTGTATCAGCTGTAAAATATAACCGACCTTTCATTTTGCATATTACATCCACACACTGTGTTGTTGAAACCTTTGTACTTAAATTGTATTTACTAGATTCAGTTCCACCGCCTTATAACAGGCTGATATGTACCTTGGGACAAACCATTGTCACATCCCTCTGGTCTCAAGCATAAACACTGGTACGATCCATGTGTGTTAATACACTGATAACTATCACCGCACATATCAACCGCTAAACACTCATCATGGTCTAAGTAATAATGAAAACAGGCAATAATGAAAAACATTTCTAATTATTAATATTATATCAAGAAAAAGATAAAAATAGAACGTGCCAACGCACTTGTAATTTGTAAATTTGTGTTAAAAACAGATATGCAAAAAACACATAAGCATATAGTAGTAATGCCTCGTATAATGTTTTATGTGTCTTTAAATGGGAAATAACGTGGAGATGAATCAATTTCAAATGTTATAGAGTTCATAATATGTCTGCCTCAGATAATGATAGATATTTGGTAAACATAACTACCCCTATATAAACATGGCGGTTAGTATGGATTATACATTCAATGTGGTTCTATGGATAGTGGTTGTTTATGTATTCATGCCATTCACAATATATTCTGTAGTATATAACGAAACAGCTACATGCCTGTTACTGTTAACGTGGCGGTCGACGAAACGATCATATCATCAGCACCTGAAGCCAGAACCTTACACTGGTATGGTCCACTGTCTTCCAATTGAAGATTGGATATATGTAGGTTGTATTCTCCCACAGAGGTGTTTCCTGCTATGGTGTATCTTTCACCATCACACACTGTGTCATTAATGATTAAATCATTGCTTATTGTTGTGCCATTCTGAATCCAGTTGAGGATCCCTTTTTTATAATTGACCTCACAGCGCAGGATGGTGTCCTCAAATTGTGTAGCGAAAATATCAATCGGCTGTCTTCTGAAATGCTGGACTGTAAGGGGTAAATTTACGTTAGCTAACCAGGAAACATTATGACACAGCGCACACCGATGAGGTTTTTTTAACCACATCACTTGGAAACAATAATCATGGGCCCTTCTTTATATGCAATCAAACGCCGAACATAACATAATAATGCGTTGTACGTTATAGCAAGGTATATACCTCGTGAAGGAGGGAAATAGTAGCATTATATTTCTGACAACGACGTCACACAATATCTAACTATTATGAACAATGAATTTCTTACGGTTAGAGAGCGGCTTCAGAAAGTGGTAATTCTATCACCAAATAAATTCACGCCGATATTAAATGGGTGAATGATTCACTTTTTGACTGAATGACTCACTTACCTAAAAGCACAGTGAGAAGGTGATTGGATGATGTAATCAAATCACTATTGCCAGCAGCGTCCACAATACATTGATAAACGCCTTCATCTACGGACTCGGTTGGGGAAAACAGCAGGTTAAATTCGCCATTTGCGATGTCTCCCACAATACTGGTTCGTTCACCATTTACAAGAACGACCTCATCGTTACTGATTGACACGCCGTCGTGCAGCCAGTGTAACACACCGTCCTTATTATCAATGGAACAATAAAGTGTTGCATCATTTCCTTGAATTGCCGTTGTATCGTTCGGTTTTATCCGGAACGACTGAGAAGGATCTAACGGGTAAGATCAGATTGAGAGAAGAAACTTATGAGCACCGATTTTATAATATGCAGAGAATGAATTTCATCCAATACTTTATATAGGATTAAGTAAACTGTGTTTGGCTATAACTGAAACAAATTTAACACATTTAAATATTGACCTATGACGTTACGTTTGATTAAATTATATGTATATGCATAAAAGTTATACATATTTCTCCGAAACACCGTGTAATATGTATCAATATTTTTTTTTTTTGAATCGCGATTTCCTACCACAGTTCAGACGTTAAATATTACCTTGCACAATCAAAATTGCAGGACTTGAAACCAAACCAGTGTCGGTTGTGCAGACGTACTCTCCATTATGTGCTGTTTCCAGAACACTAATCACCAGAAAATAATCTTCATTTGTAACCGGACTTTCGATGGCGTAGGCTGGATCTGATGTTATGATCACTTCGTCCATACTTAGAGTAACGCCATCTTTCAACCAGATGCACGCACCAGTCTTGCCCGCGATGGAACACTTTAGTGTAACAGAATCGCCAACAATGTACCCACCTCCCACAGGAGCTTCAAGGAATGTTTCGACGCATTCTACATGTAAAACACGCATGTTTGAGTTAACACTGTGTTAAATGTAATCGTATTATATCACTCGTGTACGTTTATCTTGACTAGATCGTTTGTGATTTATAACCAGAAAAGTAGTTGGTAAAATGAATGGAATAGCAAATTTGTTATGATAAGGTGGAGAGTTGTGTTGATTTTGTTGCATGTGTTTCATGTCTTATCACGCGGAATTAATTTCCTCGTCGTTTCAAGTTACACACTAAGAATTGTATGTGAGGTGTATTGTTGATGGTTATTGTGCCAGGTCGAGCAGTCGTGCTGAAAATTTCAGTTCAACGAGTTTCCACTGGGCTTGATGGGAATCGCTGGACATTGGCCAAGGTTATGTAAATTGCCCGTAGTAGCGAAAACCGTGTCATTCTAGCATTCTTTGAATGTTAAGATTAAACATATATTTTACAAACATTTTCACATTTTACAGAACACCGAAAAGACCACATTTTAACACGACATGACACCAATTTGAGAAGGCTACTTGTTTATACTGGGGAAAGGGGAGGTCCCGCGAAATATGATTCCGCCCATGTAATCAAGCCAGGTGTAATACTTTTAATACAGCTCCCAAGGCATATGTTCATTTCAATAATGAATTCAGCTGTATTACCGGGAATGTTGTTTATTGCATTCCATGTAATAACTACGGAAAACTATATACTGATTCTACAGTGTATCGACTAGGAGATCGTTTCGCTAAACATATACGACATAATATATACTTTAGGAAAATTGTTTTTATTTCAACTAAGGCTTATCGTGGAGGAAACTATATTCCGCCTTGGAACCAAAGAACCACATATAATTAACAAACAATTCAACTCATTCCCTGTTCTTACTATCTAGTGCATGTATACATGCGCTTTTGCCAAATCTTTTATAGTGCTTTTGCGTGTCCTTACGTTCTTATGTATAAACATGTTCTCCGATGCCGTTGATAAAGAGTCATTGCTCGAAACGGCTAACTATTTTGAAAAGTTACTTAGGGCAACGATTACCAAAGATTACTGCTATATACTATAGGATATTTTGATGTTTGTTGGCTTATTCTCCTACATGAAGTTACTGAAGATGTGCACATTCAATTACATGTCTTCAGTAAATTTATAATAATATTTAGAGGGAACTTAATATTGATTTTAGTACATTAAATTACCACAATATTGAGCTGCTATTGAACTACCCCAAAACATTATTATAGAGATTGGCGTTAGATTCTACCAATAATAAACAATTGCCGCAATAATACATTGGCAATATATCATGTTTCTAAATACGTTATTCTAACATTTGACCATCTAAACGACCTTATTCCTTTCAGTTTTCTGTCAACTCTCACGTTTTTTGAGGCAATGCAACCACGAATTACATCTCTATAAAAATTTCCAGCATGACAATGACTCGTTTGAAGAGCAACTCAAGAAAATCCTAAAATGAACACACATTTGCACCTGACGTTGTTAATTGCCAATTAAGATGTTTTACCCCCACATCAGTATGAATTATCTGGTTGTGTACCATATAGCTTATAGAAAAGACGACTTGTATTACAACAAATATATATATGTGAAATGCCCTTACCTACGTACTGCTTGAGTGATATAATAACTATAACACAACACGTTTCCCAAAATATCCGCATATCTAGAATCACCCAGGAAAAAACATGTCAGAGGTGTGAAACACGCCGTGGGAATGAAAAGCCCGATTGCCGCAGTCATGACGCATACAACTCGTTTATTTGCGTTTCTCGTGTTCTCGTCCTAATGCAAATGTGTATGTATGTTTGTTCGTTGGAGCAATTACTACACCACTGTAATTTCATCAAACAGATCTGGATGGAAACTTGGTAAATCCGACTCTAGCTCTTACATTGATTGGAGACTCTTATAAAATATATGTACCCGTATTCACGTCTCTTATAATCAGAATAAATTGCTCTTCAAATAAGATTTTGGTGTAGGTACATTAATCACGACGATACATTTGAATAACCAATTATTACGAATTGTATATAAGATTGCGAGCCTGTTCATTCGTATTCGCATTCGTATTCAGTGTCAATTGAGTTAAACGTATAAAAGTCAGTAGAAATTTAAGCAACACCGTTCATTTTTTGAAACACTGACAATTAAGTCACGATAATGTATTAGCTATTCGTTTTAAATGCCAACTAATCGAAATATGTTTCCCATCTATTTTTGTCTTTCCAAAATCTGTTATAGTGCGTGTTTCACTTGAGATAACCACCGGTGAGCACATAGTCAAGTGGACTTTCTAGTAATTTAAAGTGAGTTGTATCAGGAGTGATTCTATACGTATATATGACACAGTATTCCGTCTGTGTCCCACACTATATGAACGGCAGTTGCATACATATTTTAGTTGTTGTTCTTCCAAAAAAATGTATTTCCTAGTAATATATTTTGTCTTGAAAACGTGGAAAGCATTCGACGTTCAAAGATACCATTGACGCACATGAAATTTATATCGTGTATCCATGTGACAAAAGCTGTATTTTTTATTTTATCACATGATACTATTTCAGTCTAATTCCAGCACGAGTTCACAAATAGTCTTCGTCTGTCGTACAATTGATATTTACACAGTGAGGTTTAAACTAATTATCGTAAAACATGAAATTCATCTTCTTGTAATCAAATTCGCATGGTTAACAAATATCATTCCATTTGTACACGTGTTTGCACACGTGTTCTGGCAGATTAAGTTTCGTTATACAATTGTTTACAGTGTATATTAAAATGTCAACATACGTATACTTATTAGATTATTCCCGCTGCTGAAAACATTTCATTACTACCAATATATACACTAAGAGATATAAATTGGAACGCTTCTTACCTCACTGACGATTAGTTGCATACAATGTAAATTTTAATTGCTGTGACAATGTACTATGATGAGCTAAGCTAACTAAAGTAGTTGATTAGGACCCATATCCCAATTATTGGAAGGGACATTATTGGCGTGCAATCTGTAGGTTTTTTTAGAAAACTTGGTCACGAAATGTTTAGTCCTAAATTTCTGTGAGACGCCATTTCACAAAAACAAGGTGAACAAACTTACAAAATGAAAACACTATAGGAGTGCCATATGTGATTCAGCAAAATACGTTGCAAGTACAATCTATATCTTTTTACTTCGTGACAGGTTGGTAAAATCCTGAATGAAAGAAAACTACGAAACATTAAACAAAACGTTATGTAGAATATCATATCAATTTCAATGTCGGTGATATGTATGACGCCATCATAGTCGCAGATAATAATTTTAATGTATTTTTTACATTTCAGCTAGACCTAACATGAGCATACCGAAACAAAGATGTATAGGGTCATTTCAATTTAAATGTTCAATAAATGAGATAAAATAAAGATGTCATTACCAACAATGTCAACCACCAAGTATTGAATTTTGCGATACGCTTTTAGCATAAGTCATAATGTTTGGTTCAGTACGCACACAATGTGACAGATGCATGTTTCTGTATTTGTTGTAAACCGATGATTCCTGGTATCGAGGTTGATGATATGCAACTTAAAAATTATTGCGAATTAAGGTGTTATGTGTTAATGTTTCTATTTACCACTTCCCGGAGCTTGCACACTGACGCAATAGGAAATCATCCATATAGTAATTGACTAATCGGTGCAATGTTGCGATACATAGATAGCATAGATAGCTTAAGCTAATTTAGGATGGATTTGTTCAGTGGAATTATTTTTTGAGAGCGCATACTAATTTATTACATTGTTACTGTCACATCGCAAGGTCACATCATCTATGCCTCTGACAGTTAGTTCTGTGTTCTGTAGCGCCCTCATTGTTCAAACAGAGAAACTTCATATGTATGCTTGAATCAAAATTGCGTACATACGTTGAGACGAAGTCGGAGCTTATGTACAAGACAGAATTTAACAGCTCGAAAAAAACGTTCAACAGATACGCTTCTCTCTGATTGGTTTGACAGTTAGGTAATAGGATTGGTTAGACAATCAGACAATCTTGTAAATAGCTTGACTCATAGATGAACATAGACATGGAACATAGATGGCTATCAATATTTGATAACAGCGCCCTCATTCTTCATGAATATGTCAACATAAGGATTAATAGTCGAGCAACTATGTTTTCTTATGACCGTTCATTCGCTGATCACCAGGTTAAGCACCAGTGCATCTGAGTTTATAATTGGAGGAGACTTTAATACTTGTCTGTTCCCAACAATAGACAAGTCAGGTGGCGCAACCATATAGCAATCAAAGTATGCTAATGGGATCAAAGAATTAATTGATGAATTTGATTTGTTTGACGTTTGGCGTGTTCTCAACCCAGACGCGAGGCGTTACACCTGGAGACGCAGCAACCTACTTATTCAAAGCAGGCTAGATTTCTGGTTACTGTCCCGCAATTTGAATTACAGTGTTATTAAGTGCGACATAAAGCATTCCATTAAGTCT